GTCAATGAAATTTACTTTTCTCTGCTTTCTCTGCTGATATTGTTTTTTAGGCTATACATGGTTGGTTTGTCATTGTCTTGATTTAGTCCAGAAATAGCTGTTGAAAATTGGGCTGTGTTTGATCTGTCTGATTCTTAAAAAGACATTGGAAACAGGGTTTTCAACGTCTTTTCAACAATCTAGATCAAGGATCTAAAAATGATGGCCTTTTTCAGTTTTCAACCAAATGTAGACGTTGTTTGGATGTAAATCATGTCGTCTTTTCAATGTCTTTTTAACCACATTCATGGTGGGAATCCTTCCAGATAGTTAGTACCTGGTCTGTCTTGGGGTCCTCTTCTTGTAGGAAAAACACAGAACACTTCCAAACTGAGGCAGCCAAAAGGCATGAACTTTTTTTTTAACTGACCATCTGTGGATGTGAAGGAATCAGCACTGAAGAGCCAATAATTTTGATAATGCCTTCATCCATCCATCTCAGGTATTGGTATACGCTTGTCACAGAGAAGGGTTTCATTTTTTATGAAACCCCTTAGGCATATGTTTTGACTAATGAATTGCTTGGATTCAAAATAGAAAGTTTACCAATTGTATCTGTTGTTCTTAAACATTTTATTGGTTGGTAAGGAAACCAACATACCTGTAATTTCTCTTCTACAGCTGAGTCTTTCCCTTCTGTGTTGGGGTTTGAGCTTCCACAGATTGATGGTTCACCAGTTGTTGACACCTGCAGGGTTTTTGAGACAGAATCTAACACCAGTCCAACATCTACAACCAAACCACCAACCAGACCCTTAACTGGAAAGGTAAGGAGAGGCATTACAGAAACTATTACTGAGCCTGGTGCTAACAAGATTCCTCACTGTACATGTATGTTATCCACAAATGTTCAACACTTAGCAAGATTTTGTAAGCGAAATGAACTCTGTAAAATGAGATATAAGAGAAGTCAGATGGAACAGATTTGTTGTAAGCTATTTGTGGCTGTGAGGAAGCATAATGGGCTGCCAGTGTACCACCATGAATCACTACAGATCTCTGACTCAAGCTCCTGATCAAAACTTTCACATGATAAATACAATTCTGCTTTTTATTAAAAACAGAATACTTATCTATACACTTCATTCAAACATAAAAATTTATATTAAATCTAAAAGTTTGGACAAAAATGCTGAAATAACAGTGGGCCAGTAGATGGTACAACTTGAACAACATCAACATTTTACCTCATGTATGGTTGATACTATTAGTTTTAGATGTTTTTGGGGTTAACTGTTCAAACAATAAACTGAAGGGTAAGATTAGAACATCTATGCAAAATAAATATTAAATCATCAGCCGTAAGGCATCATTGCTCCTGGGATTCCTAGCATATGCTCAACAAAATTGCCAATGAAATATGTTTTCATTCATTACTATGTGGTGCAGACTGACAATCTAGCTGTCGTTCTATTTTCATTAAACGTTTCAAGATGGCTGCTGTGGAATTAAAGTTTCCCATCATTTCTTATGCCACATCTTACCGTGCCAAGAAGAACAGACAGCTGTGGTACATTATTGTTTATTTTGGTTTAAATACGTCTGTCACTATAAAATGATAGTGACAGAACCAGTTTCTCAAGTTTGAGGCTGACCAAACCTTAAAGTCATAGGGGAGCGGCTGTTCCAAACGTTGCATTTCCGAATTTTCCAGAGTGGTGCACGACTTTACACATGTGAATTAAGTGAATGTGATTGGTTGATTATCAAGAGGCGAAAGGTGTGCAAGCAAGTTGGGTTGTGGCCGGTTTCTCGGAAGCATCTTGCTAACCAGTTAGCAACTTAGTGCTAGTAGGTCCCCAAAGGAAATTTACATTGGGATCAAGTAGCACTAAATTGGTGACTTAAAAGCGACAGTGAACCAACCACCTCTGTAATAACTGAAAACAACACATGCAATAGTTGTAATGTGTTTCAGATCACTTTCAGATGAGTAATTTTTTTATTTATTTTCTAAAACACAGCAGGTGGCCCTCATAACCAGAAAGACAGTCGTCCAATCGCCACGGAGGAAGTCAGCCGCCATAGTACCAATCAGGACAGGACCGATTGCTGGAGGACCAATTACAAACCCAAACACCAATCAAGCTCTCAGACTGCTTTACTACCTCCTGGCCAATAGCAGAGGTCGATTCATTGGTTCTCAGCCAAAGAGAGGAATCAATATGATGTCTAGTAGCGAGGAATCAGTAAGGGTCTGGAAAATGGGTGCCGCTACGTCAGTGGACTCCAGTGATGAGTCATAAGATTAAACCATGAGTACAATCAAGAATTTTGTTTCAAGTTTCCTTAAGTCGTTTAAAATTGATCTTTAAACAGAAACCAATGGGAAAATTATTTAAGTACGTGCTTGTTTATTCTTACTTTTATTGGAAAACATTTTCATTACAGTTTAAAAGCCTGTACATAAAAATCCATAACCTATTTACAGTTTTGGAAACTTAAGGATTCTTTAAAGGTCTATGTAGATTTTCGTAAGTTTGTTTGGTTAGGAAAGGTAACTAGAACTTGTTTAGATTAGCAAAGTCAGTGTGAAACAGAAAGTATTTAAGGAATTTAAAGTCAGTATTTATATATTAGCTCTGTATTGTTGACTGAACTAAATGAAAACAAAAATAAATAAATGGCGTTTAGAAAGTAGGAAATGTTAGTCTTTTAATTCTGACTGTTCTTGTGTATTTGCTGTAGAGGTTTTTCCGTAGTGTTCTTCTGATGGTGGACTGGTTGAGACTGGAGTCTTTCTGATCCTGGGGTCTTTGGCTCCTTTATTCTGTTTGGCTTAGAGAAAAAATGCATTTTATTTAGTTTATAGCCATGTGTGATGTAAAGGTTAATGTAAAGTGAATTAAATAGCATATAAAACATTTGAATGTTTTCTTTTTTATTAAGCTCAAATTTTTGTGGTGTGATTTTACACAATTTATCCATGACTAAAAACTCCATCCTTATTGTATGCACAATTGAAAAGACAGATCAAAACAGACCTAAAACAAATATACTGGTTTAAATGAGAACATTAATGTTCTTTTCATACAGTGCATGTTCACACTTTTAAAAAACTGCGTCTGTACCTTCTGTTCCACTGAGATCCGGATGCACTGAGCCTCTTACGTCTGGGAAATGGACGTTGTATTTAGCCCTTTCGCTTAAGAAATTGTTTTCTGATGTCTGAAAAGACAGACAGGTTTTACAAGTTATTACAGAAATATCATTCTTTAGTAACAAGAAAGACACCAGTTCACATTATTACCTGTAAGGTGAAGGGTCTTGTAGCATGGTTTTGTCCAAATTGTTGGTCCTGTCCACCATGAATGCCACCATAGTGCCTTGGCTTATCTAAACTCCTGCAACATACATGAGGAATAGTAAGTTGTGAAACACATAAAGCATATTTTTCTATCCACAATGTTCTTAGTGGATAGTGCAACATTCGGGAACCTGAAACCCACCCAAGACTCTATTAACCGGAGAAAAGATTGATTTAGGCCAATTTAACAGACCACAGAAGTTATTTTGAACCATAAGGCTGAAAAGGGATTTACTAGTTTTAATCACGCAGGGTACTAGTTTTCAGAGGTGGGTAAAGTACCCAAAAGGTTTACTCAACCTCCATTTTAAATTATACAAGAAATTAAGTAAACTGAATAAAGTATTTGGTCGAAAGGCTGCTTAAGTATTGAGTAACTGTTGTGTAATCCATCCATCCATCTATTTTCTGTCACTCTATAAGCGGGGCTGCTGGTGCCAATCTCCAGCTGTCTTTACCCTGAACAGGTCGCCAGTCCATAGCAGGGCAACACAGAAACATACAACCATTTATGCACACACTCACATCTAAGGAGAATTTAGAGAGGCCAATTAACCTAACAGTAATGTTTTGGGACTGTGGGAGGAAACTGGAATACCTGGAGAGAACCCATGCATGCTCAGGGAAAACTTGCAAACTCCATGCAGAAAGACCCCAGGCCGGGAATCAAACCCAGGACATTCTTCATGCAAGGCAGCAGTGCTACCCACTGCCCTACTGAGCAGCATTCATAAGATTTAATGTTAATATAAAATATGCTGAAAAATAGACAGGTTCTGGCATTCTAAAGACTCAAATGCCTAAAGAATAGAAATAAATGTAATGAATGTAAAAGAAATAAAATTAGTACAGAAGAAATACTTCTACCATTTATTTCCAACAAACATTCCATATGTGGCTAAAAACACCGATTTCCTTCATTACCAGATACTATGGCTGTGTCTGAATGTCCCTAACCCCTAGATCCCTCAATCACTATGTAGAGTCGAAGGTGTCCTAACTCCACCTCCTCACTGGGGCATGCGCCATCTTTGTTACTTGTCACCACTGTCAATACCTGACCGCAGGCTGCTGTCACAACAAATCCTATGATACATTGCGAGAAGAGCCCTTGCAAAGCTTTCTGGGATATTTCTGCTCATAAAGTGACCATGGATGATCAGTACTTTCAAGATGCATTGTGGGAAATCTTCAGTCCACTACTTTCTCATCCACTAGACATTCGGACAAACCTTTAAAATGGCGTAAGAGCTATAAAGTGCCCTATATAGTGATTAGAGTGGAAGTTTGGACACAGCCAAGGACATACCAAGCAATTCCATATTGATTTTCTCTGACTGCCCAAGTTTCCCAGTTAAAATAGAGGGGTTTATTTGTCAGTCAAACAATTTCTACGTGTATCAAGCCAGGATCTGTATATTTAATGAAAGTCATAGTGTGAAGCAAATATAGTTTTTGAGGTGAACCAGTCTTGGTTGGGTCAGAATTTTAAAGACATGTGCACTGAGAGCTACCTAAGACTGTAGGTCCCCGTATGAAAACCTCGTCCCTGTAGAAGGTGGTCACTGTCAGCAGTGCTGCTGGTATTTGAGACAAGGGGGGTAGAGGTGAGGGCTTTAGAGGATGGAGGAAGACGATTGGTAGTGGCTTCTGGAGGAGCAGAAGGTGTACAAGATCCGAGTACAGTGTAATCAAACATATTTTCTTTAGAGTCTGTGTCATGAAGGATGAGGCTTCTCGTCAAAGCTTTGTGGTCTAAAGACACAACTAAATCAGTGGACATATTTGTAACATTCCCCTCTAGTTTGCTGTTTTGCTTTTTTGCATCTGGAGTAAAAATAGGTATTGGATTCTTCACAGAGGACATCATGTGGTCGCTAACAGATTGAGCCATTGTTGGGTTTGGATAATGGTAAGAAAGAGTTAAGGCTTTTGAATCGAATTGAAACTCTTGGCTTGCATTGTTCCATTTGCCTTTAGCTGACCTCTCAGAAGGCTTTGAAGTTTTATTCATTGGAGCATTAGCTTTTAAACTAATGGGCACAGACAGGGCTGAATCCTCCTGAATCAGTTTTGCTGACACTCCCAGTTCTTTTTCCACTGGTAGGTTTTCATCTGGCCCAGGGGTTGAGGTATTTCTTTCTTCTGCAGTTATAATGTTGCTTTGCGGACAAGTAAAATAGGGCTTTGATATTTCAGGATTTCTATCTAAGACATGGGAAGACAGACAAGGTTTTCTGGGAATTTCTGTCATTGGATTAAGCTTCAAGTATCTGTGACCGTTCTTTATGTCCCGGTCCTCTGTAGGTCCCTTGTCTTTTGACGAATCCTTAGCAGTGCAGGTTGTTTTAGGAACCTTTGAATGTGAGATTACTTGAGGTAGGGCAGAAGGGGCGTGGGCAGTACCGGGTTCTGGAACTGTCACAAATGACTGCTTGGAAAGGTCTACGGCAGTTCTGGAAGGACTAAAGGAGCAGTCATTGTGACTGGGTTGAATAATACTTGAGTCAGCATGGGTTCTCCTTTGGTTTTTAGGTTGGGCCTTTGGGCATTCACAGGTTTCTTGCTTCACATCAGCTTCTAATTTTTCACTCTGAAACTTTGATGCCAAACTTGCCCTACCTGGCTTTGTAATCTCCAGTAATGTCCGGGCAGTATATTCATTAGAGGATGGAGGATTTGTAGGTATTACACTTGAGTCTGATTCCAAAACTGTTTTTGAAGATGAATTTAATATTTGACGATCATTTACTGACATTTTAGACAATTTAGGAACTTTTGAACTAATGTTGCTTAAGCTCCTTACAAACTCTTTGTTTGTCTCAGATTTGGATGATTCCCCAAATGGCATCGTGGTATTCCCACTGTCCAGGTTACTATAGTTTAAGTCTTTTGATTTGTGAAGGTAGTCTTTTCTTGGATCTTGAGTGATATCCTGTTCATGTTTCGGTTTTGCTGCCACTGAGCTTTTCTTCTTTAAACTTACAGATTTCTTGGTTGTATCCGATGAGTCAGAGCTACAGATATAAATTGACCTTAAATTTTCAAACTCTGAACCAGCTGGTTTTCCTGCTTTCATTAAATACTGCTCTGTATGATAGACACCCTTGTTACTACATGTTTTGGGTTGTTTGCTCATAAAAGGTTCAGTTGTATTATGAATGGTGGTTGAGAGTTTGGCTGGTTGTCTCCCTTTGGTTTTCTCCATCTTTTCATGGTATACTTTCTCTTCCATTTCTTCTGGTTCTTTCTTGTCTTTGCTCCTGCAGTTTTTATCATCTCCATTTTCTCTTTCTTGCATTGGGGTTTTGGGTATTTTGGGAAAACTAGACTTTTCTCTATGGTCTTTTTGGATTTCAGTGTTCAGCTCATCTAAAAACCTGTGCAGACACAAAGACAAATGTGGACTATCTTAAGGAACAATGAGCAAACTCAAATTTTAGACGTATCTCACAAGGGAGGAGTGAAAAACATAAAATATACCTGATGTTGAAAGAGTCTTGAGTAAAGAGAAGATGCTCTAATAAGTCAGAACATTGGGCTCGTCTTTTTGGATCCATCTCTAGACAGTCCTGAACAATAAACAAAGGAACAAATTATGCAAATGATCTGGTGGCTAAAAACAATAGCAGTAACTTTTTTACAAGTTTTTCAAGTTAATCAATTTCTCTTCCCCCTAATCATGGTAAAACTCCTTTCAACCAAAACTTCAATAAGTGGCGCATAAGACAAGATAACATAAGATAGGAATATAAGGTTGAATGATGGATACCAGATGGGATTGATCATGTTACTAAATGACCCCATATCTATAGGTGTACAGATCCGATCTAAGATAATAATGGATAAAATGTGACATATATATTTGGATCCTAGGTGTATTGTGCAATTGGAAGTAATTTTTTAACAATTGGATACCACACAAGCAGCAAAGTATGGGCCCAGTCCCACTTGATCCACTGGTTCACCCTATTTAAATTGATATTCATAAGGAGCCCAATATATTTGTTGGCTGGATCGAAAATCTGTCAAGTTATAGCAGATCTGAAACTACTTGGTGTAACAGTGGCTTATGGTGTCAGTGTTTGTCTCAAAATCAGTAGCAGGTTGCTGGTCCAAGCCCCATCTATGTCTGTCTCTGTCGTTGTGTCCTTGGGCAAGACAGTTCACCTGTCTGCTGCTGCTGGTCAGAAAGCAGGTGTAGTAACTTACCATCATCAGTGTGTGACTGAGAGAATGTGTAAAACACTTCAAGGGTTAAGTTAAGGCCATCCATTTACCAAGTTTCTCTTTGGTTCAGCAGTCAGAGAATTAACTTCATTGTTTTACTACTGTCCTCAGCTAATAGATTATCTTTAGCACGGTTGAGTCTTTTATTACCAAACTGTGAAATACCTGAGCTAGATCAAGGGCAGTTGGTGGTATTCTCGGGAAGCGTTGTTGCAGTGGCACGGTTTTTGAACATTCAGGCAGTTTAACTCCAGAAAAGATGGGATTTCTATAGAACAACTCCTGGTGATGAGCTGTTAGGTTACCTGGAACCGAGAAGAAATAGCTCAGTAAGAGAAATAAAAATAATATCATGACCCTTTTCTGTAAGAGCTTACCGAAACACTTGACGATGTGGTATATCTGGTCAAGGTCAGAGTCACCAGGAAACAGAGCTTGTCCAGTTAACATCTCCATTAACACACAACCCAGGGCCCAAACATCTACAGGTCTACACACACAAGCACACGTACCATTTATTGTTTGGTATCCATAACATCCATCAGGATACCTCAGAGTGCAGCAAAAAATACCTACTTGCCATATTTGATGTCACCTACAAGCAGTTCAGGAGCTCTGTACCAACGGGTAGCAACGTAGTCAGTATAAACACCACCTTCAGATGACGATGCAATGGTTCTGGCAAAGCCAAAATCACACAGTTTGACCACACCCCCCTGAGAAACAAGAATGTTCTCAGGTTTGATGTCGCGGTGGATCACCTAGAATGGGGTACGACATATTGGACATCAGCAAGTGAAGAAAACACTCCTTTGGTTTCCTTTTTTGTCTGATGCGAAAATGCATTAACTTGTAACTTTAAAGTCGTAGGGAAACGGCTGTTCCAACCGTTGCAGTTCCGAATTCTTCCGAGTGTTGTACGATTTTACAAGAGTAAATAACATGAAGGTAATTGGTCATTTATCAAGAGGGCTGGACTGTTGTGGCGGAAGGTTCGCAAGCAAGTTTGGTTGTGGCTGTTTCTCGGAAGCATCTTGCTAACCAGTTAGCATCGGAGTGCTAGTAGGTTCCCAATGGGAAATTCCATTGGGACCAAGTACCAATAAATTGGTGACTTAGAAACAACACTGTCAAGGAACGCTATGGACAGTGGAAACATGCAAGAGGAGGAGAGTTTTGTGTCGGAGGTCGTGGATGAGTCTCCTCCGTCATACATTTTTTATTTAGAGGAGGAAAGCGGGGACAAAGTTGTTGTGGAGGAGGACGCCAGGGCGGCAGAAGCTTGGTTTGGTTTAGAAGGTTCCTGATAATAAAATCAAAAGGCTTGAAAATAAAATGACAGTTTTGTGTCGGAGGTCGTGGATGAGTCTCCTCCGTCATACATTTTTTATTTGAAGGAGGAAAGTGGGGACAAAGTTGTTGTGGAGGAGGACGCCAGGGCGGCAGAAGGTTGGTTTGGTGTAGAAGGCTTACAGCCGTACATGTTTGAGCCCTTGCCTCGCAATGCTGCCAGTTCTGTTAGCTCTACGCCTGCCGAAGACACAGACGTCCATCCCCGTGAACACTGGGACGGAACTCAATGGGAAAGTAAATGATTCTTATTTATCACTTCAACCGTTGCGTATATTAGCTGCGACACATGAATCAAGATGCTATGACCATCTGATGAAGAGTACATTTATATACATGTTTAAGCCAGAAGGATTTGACATTTAAATATAATTTTCCTACGACTTTAAAGCTTGAAATTGTGTTCTGGAATTTTGAACTTGTGGATTAAGTTGTAATTATATTGTATATCTATTCTTGCTGTTTTAACATGACATATAAAAGAATTCCTTACGTTTTGCTGATGGCAAAAGTTGGCAGCTCTGAGGATCTGAAATAAGTACTGGCGACAGGTGTGAAGGTCCAACCCGCTTGAGTTCTGCTCCAGTTCATCCAAAAGCGTCCGGTCCACAAACTCAAACACAAGATACCAGCGACGACGGCGCTTCCACACCTCCAGGAGGTTCACCAGATTGTCGTGATGCAGCTGCTGTAAGAGTTAAATAAAGCAGAGCATTTCAAACACATGTTGTTGTTTTCTATCATTATAATTAGCAAGACTTGATAATCATTGTTTATACACATGCCTACACTGCAAAAAATGATGAAGAAATAAGTTAAAAATCTCTTAAATTAAGTGTGTTTACCCTTAACTTGGGTAGGTAAATAAGATTATCTGCCAATGGAATTAGTATGTTTACTCTTAAGGTAAAATCATTAGAGAATATGCACTGTAAATAAGAAAATGAAATTGTTTTTTTCTTATTTCAAATGTAAGTTGTCTTGTTCCATTTGCAAAGTGCCTTATTTACCTCCTCAATCTAAAAAAAAGAAGCACTTATTTTAAGGAAAAGTGAATTATACAGATTAAAATTTTTTGCAGTGTAGACAAAATCAAAACCACTATCTCATTTTCCTCTGGTGGTGACCTTGAAAACAATCATGAGAAATTGACCCTGAGTTGTTTGCCTTATGCTTGGCGGGTCCTCTTAGTGTTTCAGGTTTCAGACTCATGTACACCACTCCCTTTACTCAGTTATTCATTGACTGACTGATTATTGATGTACCCTGAGCAGCTTGATTTCCCGGAGGGCAATTTTCTTCACTGTTTTGTCATCGTCTGAGTCGATGAATTTCTTGATGGCGACGAGGCGACCAGATTCCCGATGCCGGCATTTAAGCACACTGCCATAGCTGCCCTCCCCAACCGGACCCAAAGACTCATAACGCTCCATTTGACTCTTATTCTGCAAAGAAATCATAAAAAAACTGTTATTTACTCTTGTGGCTCTTTGTTATTAAAAAAGATTAAATTGGTTAACTTTACATAGATATACTTGATCTTAGGACCTTGTAAAAAAAAAAAAAAAAAAAACACTGTTCACCCATTAGTTCACTTTTTTTAAAAGCAACAAGTCTTGATCAATTGCACTGTAGAGTTTCTGAAGATCTTAGAAATGTTTTCTTTGGATGTTGGCAGCTCTTTAACCCAGTGTTGTTGTTTTTTTGCAGATACCTAACCATGTCCTTTTAATCATTAAACCATAAAGCTTTCTAGACTCTGGAGACTATAGAGCAAATGTGTCAATGCATAAACTTAAAAAAAACATTCAGTTTGGATCATTGGTAGGCTACCATTGGAACTTTTTTTTCTATTTTACATGAATCTCTGAAAAATAGCTACCGTGCATATTAATTTTGGTTATTTCAAACAAAGTCTTATAAAACAGTTCTTATTGAGAGGAACAATAGGGACCTTTTATTCTGAAACTGTTATGTTTTGTCCAATAAAATTTCATTTTGAAAAATAAAAAGATTAACAGATAAACAAATAAACAAAACTGCGGACTTAAAAAAAAAGAATTTAAAAACGAAAAAAAAAAGACAAAAAGAAAGAAATATAAAAGTCCCATTTCTCTCAGTTCCTTAAATTGCTAAGGTGCCATGAAATTCCTCTAATAATTATATTCTTATATATACGTCTGAATTTATAAACAGCAAATAGAAAATGTTGTTTCCCCCGATATAAGATAGGCTGAAAGTTATCATTTGTCCTAAAAACTACATGATGAAATTCAGTAAACGGAACAAAGAATGTGTCTACTGGGGAAAAAACAAACAAACAAAAAGTCACTGACCTCATAGATAGGTCTCCCTCTTTCCTTCTAATTTGTACATCAATATAAACACTAAAGTATCGCTGTCTGGGAACGTTTCAGTCACCTGAGACACAGCAGAACAGCTGCGTGTGTTTCGCCTGACGCGTTTCCATGGTAGCACTCACCGCGCGGTGGCGCCTCCTTCTGCTTTGATGACGTAGCCCTCTTTTTAAATCAAATGAAAAGGATTATAAATGTACGGAAGAGGATTAGGGCCACCGAAAAAATAAAAAATGTTAACTGATTTTTAAATTTTATTCCAGTGTAATTTTGGAAATCTGACTTTAATCTCAGAATTCTGACTTTTGTCTCAGAATTCCGACTTTAAACATAAAAATTCCGTTTAGGCATGACATTTCTGTGAAAAAGGTGTTGACAGTTTAGTTTAAAAAAAAAACTTTTGGTTTTAAATGTGGTTTTTGCACTTTATAGTTTTACAAGTGTGTAGGTCTGTGTCTTTTTTTTTAGTCATTAACTATACAACTTTATAAAAAATAAGAATCATTTAATAGTTTATAGCAACAAAAAAAGATCCATCCATCTGTTTTCATGTCTATCAATTTTTAAATACATGTTTTAATTCAGGGCCTGGAAAATATCTAATGTTAGATATATTCAGGAGTCAGATGTAGAAACAGAGTTTATCTGATAGCTGAGGTGAGAGAATCCCTTCACCGTTTTTCTTCTCTTCCTTTTTTTAAATTGTGATCATTTTGATTTTCTTAGCCCATAAGACAGATTAGACCCACTGCATTTGTATAACCATTTTCTACCCAAATGGGGCGTTTTTAAACCTGGTCTGTTCAATTTAAAAAGTTTTAAGGGAAAAAAATAGGGATTAATTAATTCAGTTTAGGAGGAAGTATTTAAAGCTACAGTGTGTAACTTTTAGCGACATCTAGCGGTCAGACTGGAGCTGCTGCAACATGAACATCTCCCCCCCAACAGTACGGCGAGCGTTACAGGACAAAATGTCTTCCACGACGTCCGCATCACCTACCTTCTCAAGTGATGAGGTTTGTTTACATAGATAATTTTACAGATAGTATTTCAGTAGTCTGTGTAGGGTATAGATTTCATGTAGACTTAAGATAATAAATATACCCGTTATTTGTTCTACATCGTTGTGACGTTTTGGCGATCTCGCAATCGCTAGTTTGTTGGCTCTGCGCTGCCGTAGCGCAAAGATGTCTGCCCCCATGGCTGCGAGACCCGCTCCTATGTAATTATAAATAACGAATTCTAAGGCAACGCAAATATTAAGGTTAAGAGGCTGAGCTCGTAGATGATGATAAATAACATAGTTATGTATAATATATTACATTTCTGACTGTATATCCCTGTAATTATTACACACTGTAGCTTTAAATGGCTAATCAACATAACCCTATCTATGGGTTATAGGGTTAACCCTATCATAACTCTCTCTCTCTCTCTCTCTCTCTCTCTCTCTCTCTCTATATATATATATATATATATATATATATATATATATATATATATATATATACATACACATATGTAATGTAACTATGCAGTCATGTTTACATCACTTTTTTCATCACAATGTTTTTATCACTGCTGCTTACCTGCAGTTTAAAAAATTAAATAGTCTAGAGAGCTGTACTTAACGAAATTTCTTTTTGTTTACACGTGTGTACAAAATGACAAAATAAAATCTAAGTCTAAGTCTATATGATTACAGTAGGTGCTTCCATTAAACAAAAAAGATGCTTTCTACTTGTCGTCCAGCAGGAGGCAGTATTAATCTCCAAGCATCCTCCTTCTAATTTCTGTGTTTCTCTATTAGAATGTGCTGCTTAATGAAAAACAAGCGAGCTACTTTAACTGTTTGAAAAATCTGTGTTAATAAAGATGTCATCGTACTAATCAAGCTTTAACATTAGAAAGTTTAACCCAGAACAGAATCGTTTTTTAAACTTTATTTGGGTAAAGATCTCACAGCATCACTGGGTTAATCATTTAATCATTTATTTGATCATTCAGGCTTCATAGACATAGTTTCGCTGCTAGTTTGTATTTTACAGTGTATACATTAATATGAACAGAAGCTTAATGTTTGAAACTAACTTTCACATACTGATAATTAGTTTGAAATTTCTAATGTCTTGTTAGATTTACAGTATAATTCAAAAATAAATAAATGATATAAAGCACTGATAGAGGTAAAAGTATTTTTCTTATATAGAAAAATATATATTTTTACAGCAGAGCCATGATGGTTAATCTGAATGGCTATTATTTACACCAATTAAACATTTCTAATACATAATTTAAAAACAGTTTGATACACAGAGGTTAGAAAACATCACATCTTTGGTTTAATCTGGAGTTTCAGCCAATTTTCTGATCTCCTCCAGAAGCTCTGAGAACTTCGGCCGACCGTCAGGTTTCTGGAATATCAAAAAAAAAAAATGAAAAGGATGTTAAAGAAAAAACTGATTAAAAGAAAAAGATACAGTTTTTATATATCAATTCTAACAGTAAGAAACATATTGCTTCCCTACTTAGTTTAACAGTCTAAGTCTTTTATTTTCCATCCTCCTTTCTTCCCTGGTGTGCTTTACTTCCTATTGCCTCATCTCCTTCCTTTCCTCCTTCCTTCCTTGTCTCCTACCTGCCCAGAGCCCTACTTTCCTTCCCTCTTTGTTTCCAATTGTTTTATTCCTTTCTTGCATCTAAGTTTTCTTCTCATTTCTACCTTGTGTCCTAATCTTATGTATCCTGGTATTCCATCTTCCAACTAGGATGCATATTTAAAACCTGTTTGCTCCCTGACTTCCCTAATCTTATGATAAAAGTCTGAATATTATGTTTTATTATAAATGTAAGGAATGACCGGGCTTGGATTTTATATCCACTGCATCTGTTCCTTTTTTTTTTTTTTATACCATTTCAGGTCCAGATTAATCAACAAAATTTGTTCTACAGCAAGAAACATTTACCATCTTTAACGGAATGTGAATTTCCCAGACCAAATCTGTGTTGGTGTCACTTAAAATTAAATAAAATACTTTCAACATGAAACTGATGTAATTCTTTTAATTTATTTAGTTTTATGGCTCAACTTCATTTTGACAATTCAGTTTCTTTGTGTAAGATCACCGGGTCCTTATGGTGCAGAGTAAAAAACATTGATTCAGAGAGTGACATTTAACATCAACTTATGTTTAACATATTTTAACCTGAAGTTTGAGTGGTATAATAATGTTTAATTATAAATTAAGCCCGTCAAAATCGTGAGATCTAAAATCTACACTACCGTTCAAAAGTTTGGGGTCACATTGAAATGTCCTTATTTTTGAAGGAAAAGCACTGTGCTTTTCAATGAAGATAACTTTAAACCAGTCTTAACTTTAAAGAAATACACTCTATACATTGCTAATGTGGTAAATGACTATTCTAGCTGCAAATGTCTGGTTTTTGGTGCAATATCTACATAGGTGTATAGAGGCTCATTTCCAGCTACTATCACTCCAGTGTTCTAATGGTACAATGTGTTTGCTCATTGGCTCAGAGGGCTAATTGATGATTAGAAAACCCTTGTGCAATCATGTTTACACATCTGAAAACAGTTTAGCTCGTTACAGAAGCTACAAAACTGACCTTCCTTTGAGCAGATTGAGTTTCTGGAGCATCACATTTGTGGGGTCAATTAAACGCTCAAAAAGGCCAGAAAAAGAGAACTTTCATCTGAAACTCGACAGTATATTCTTATTCTTAGAAATGAAGGCTACTCCATGTAAGAAATTGCTAAGAAATTGACGATTTCCTACAACGGTGTGTACTACTCCCTTCAGAGGACAGCACAAATAGGCTCTAACCAGAGTAGAAAAAGAAGTGGGAGGCCGCGTTGCACAACTGAGCAAGAAGATAAGTACAATAGAGTCTCTAGTTTGAGAAACCGATGCCTCACAGGTCCCCAACTGGCAACTTCATTAAATAGTACCCCGCAAAACACCAGTGTCAACATCTACAGTGAAGAGGCGGGTGCGAAATTCTGAGTGCCCATCCAACCAATCCAACTTGTGGGAGCTGCTTCTGGAAGCGTGGGGTGCAATTTCTCCAGA